TATATATATATATATATATATATATATATATATATATATATATATATATATATATATATAATACTCCAAAAAAGGCAGCTTTACCACTTTATTTTATCTCTGGCTGTGTGTTTAGGGTTAATGACTTGGCGGATAGTGAACCTTTGTGCCTTAAGCTGGGAACTTCTTCCAGGACTTCTTTTTATTTTGATCCATCCATTTGCTGACCATCCCGCATCAGCTTCTGCATCCCCCGCTGCTACCACCTTGTTTTGGAATGGTTTGTTCAGAGGGTTTTACAGATTATATCTTATTTTTTCCAACATAAATAACATGCTGCATCAGGCCATATATTTAAATTTGCTCTTAACTGATCAGATTAGTCTTCTTTTCACTGTGTCTTCTGCATGGATCGGGGTAAATTCCATATGGTTTTTACTTGCCGCTTCCCCCCAAAAAACAACAACACATCCAATAGGAGATCTATTTCCCCACCTGAGCTATAGATATTTGCAGCTCCTCCTTGCTCAGCCTGTCAGCTTAAGGTGATGGTGTCATCTTGCTATGTTTGAGGTATTGTGATTGTCTTTCTATTTCTGTACAACATTTTAAATTTTGCTAGATGAGAGACCTTGGGGTTTATATCGAAAGGTAGTGTTCATATTGAAACTGGAAGACTTTAATCACCAACTAGTCGCCCAGTGAAGGTAAGGGTTTTGTCAATGGGATCAGATTCTGAATAGAAATATTAAAGCCAATTTGTAAAAACCCAGAAAAGCATGTGGCTTCTTCATTCCACATCACAATATATGTAGTATGTCAGGTTTATCTGTCACATGAGACAGAGGAGTGGATTGAACTGCCCCAGGATCATTTATTCTGGAACAAGGTTTTTTTTTGGTTCTGCCTTTGCCCTACCTTTCTCATACCTCATCCAAAATAGTTGGTTATCCTGAGCTGTTTTCTATATTTATTCTGCTATAAATTTAGGCTGCTGGAGGCCACTTTTCCTCATTCTGCTTTTTTCTGTCACTATTCTCCCATCCTGCAGTATTTGTCCATAACTTTATATTCTCCCTGCTTTTCTTGTCATAGTAGTGTTGGGACATTGAGGACCAATGCTCATGTTTCACCATAACATTTTCACTTGAGGTGAGGGTGAAGTTTTGTTCCACAGCGCTTTTGCCCTCTCAAAGCTTCTGCAAAACTTCCCCCAATTTGCTTCTCAAGACACCTCCAACAGAGGTGCCTTGTCAGAGGTAAGGACAGTAAAAACCCCAGCACATAGGATTTCTCTCTCTTTCCGTGGGTTCACATTGGAAGAGGACAACACCATGGAGCCAGGCCCAGATCTGCAGAATGATCAAGGCTAGATCATGATGGCTGACATTTCAGAACCAAACTGTTGCAAAACAGACTTTTTGTAACACATTCCTCTTACAGAGCGGGACTGTAGGGGAGGGTCTCCTGAAGAAGTTGTTCCCTTGGTTTAGGCTGCATGGAACAAAGCCCCCCCTTTTTTATTTATTTATTTATTTTTTGCTGTGAGAACTGCCTCACTGAGCTGCTGCTGGATGAAAACTCAAACCTTCCAAAATGGACAGGAACAGAGATATAAGGTCTGGCAGAGTTAGGGACAGATTCTTGTTAAACAATATGTCTTTTGATGATTTTGATTATTTCATGTGTTTACTGATGCGTACAGAAAAAGCTAATAGGATGGATCACTGTTGTTTGAGCTGTTGCGGAAGCTCGGACAAGCTTTATTTCACTAAGGGTTTAAACACTGATATAACATTAGTGTTCATGTGCTTTCTTATATGCTCATTACACTTTGATTACCAAATTATGACCAAGAGTCGTTTAGTGGAATCCTGATGTCTATTCACTGCTAGCAATTTCAAAGAGGGTAAAGAATCATTTAACTAAGGATTAAGCAAGTCATTTAATGAAACATTATTTGGCCAAATAATGTTTTATTCCCCTCATGTGCATTGTGAATTGGTTTGAAAACATTGCAATCCCTCTAAATTAGTGAAAAACTAATTTGATCACAAATTCTTCAAGATAAACTGGTTCACAAACACAAAATCCAT